AGAAAAACCCCAAATAAGCGATTTCAAGTTATACCTAACTGAATTAGAAAAAGAAGAACAAACAAAGCCCAAAGTCAGCAGAAGGAGAGAAATAGTAAAAATCAGAGCAGAAATAAATGCTGTTGAAACAAAAAAGGCAGTAGAAAGGATCAATGAAACAAAGAGCTGGTTCATTGAGAAGATAAATAAAATTGACAAACCCCTAGCCAGACTTACAAAGATGAAAAGAGAGAAAGCTCAAATAAACAAAATCGGAAATGAGAGAGGAGAAATAAAAGACTCCACAGAAGTACAGCAGATTACAAGAGAATACTACAAAAAACTATATGCCAACAAAATGGATAACCTAGAGGAAATGGATAAATTCTTAGACTCTTACAACCTCCCAAAACTAAGTCAAGAAAAAGCAGACAATGTGAACAGACCAATCACAAGGCAAGAGATTGAAACAGCAATCAAAAGCATCCCAAAGAATAAAACTCCAGGACCAGACAGCTTTCCTGAGGAATTCCACTAAACTTTCAGGGAGGATTTAATACCTATCCTTTTCAAGCTATTCCAAAAAATTAGGGAGGACGGAAGACTTCCTAACACATTCTACAAGGCCAACGTCACTCTGATACCAAAGCCAGACAAGGACAGCACAAAAAAGGAGAACTACAGGCCAATATTGCTGATGAACATAGATGCAAAAATTCTCAACAAAATTTTGGCAACCCAAATTCAGCAATACATGAAAAGGATCATACATCATGATCAAGTAGGATTCATAACAGGGACACCGGGATGGTTCAACATCCGCAAATCAATCAATGTGATACACCACATCAACAAACTGAGGAATAAAAACCACATGATCATCTCAATAGATGCAGAGAAAGCATTTGACAAGATCCAACAGCCATTTATGATAAAAACTGTGAACAAAATGGGGATAGAAGGGAACCTCCTCAACATAATGAAGGCCATATATGACAAACCCACAGCCAACATGATACTCAATGGGCAAAAACTGAGTGCCATCCCCCTGAGAACAGGAACACAACAAGGATGCCCTCTATCACCACTCTTATGCAACATAGTACTGGAGCTTTTGACCAGAGCAGTTAGGCAAGAGAAAGGAATAAAAGGAATCCAAATAGGGAGGGAAGAAGTGAAACTCTCGCTGTTTGCAGCCGACATGATCTTATATATAGAAAACCCCAAAGAATCCATTGGAAAACTATTAGAAATAATCAACAACTACAGCAAAGTTGCAGGGTATAACGTCAGCTTACATAAATCAGTAGCATTTCTATACTCTCATAACGAACTAACAAAAAGAACTCAAGAACACAATACCGTTCACAATCTCAACAAAAAGAATAAAATACCTTGGGGTGAATTTAACTAAGGAAGTGAAAGACCTATACAATGAAAACTACAACACTTTCCTGAAAGAAATTGATGATGACATAAAGAGATGGAAAGACATTCCATGCACATGGATTGGAAGAATAAACATAGTTAAAATGCCATACTACCTAAAGCAATCTACAGATTCAATGCAATACCAATCAGAATCCCAATGACATTCTTTACAGAAATATAACAAAGAATCCTAAACTTCATCTGGGGCAACAAAAGACCCCAAATTGCTAAAGCAATCCTGAGAAAAAAGAACAAAGCTGGAGGCATCACAATCCCTGACTTCAAAACATACTACAAAGCTACAGTAATCAAAACAGCATGGTACTGGTACAAAAACAGGTGCACAGAACAATGGAACAGAATTGAAAGCCCAGAAATAAAAACCACACTTCTACGGGCAGCTAATCTTTGACAAAGGAGCTGAGGGCATACAATGGAGAAAAGAAAGTCTCTTCAACAAATGGTGCTGGGGAAACTGGAAAGCCACATGTAAAAGAGTGAAAATTGACCATTCTTTCTCACCATTCACCCAAAAAAACTCAAAATGGATCAAAGACCTAAAGGTAAGACCTGAAACCATAAGGCTTCTAGAAGAAAATATAGGCAGTACACTCTTTGACATCAGTATTAAAAGGATCTTTTTGGACACCATGTCTTCTCAGACAAGGGAAACGATAGAAAGAATAAACAAATGGGACTTCATCAGACTAAAGAGCTTCTTCAAGGCAAGGGAAAACAGGATTGAAACAAAAACAAACCCACTAATTGGGAAAAAAAATTTGCAAGTCATATATCTGACAAAGGGTTCATCTCCATAATATATAAAGAACTCACACAACTCAACAACAAAAAATCAAACAACCCAATCAAAAAATGGTCAGGAGACCAGAACAGACATTTCTCCAAAGTATATGGATGGCCAATAGGCACATGAAAAGATGTTCATCATCACTGATCATCAGGGAAATGCAAATCAAAACTACTCTAAGATATCACCTTACACTTATTAGAATGAATAAAATAACCAAAACAAAAAGTAACAAATGTTGGAGAGGTTGTGGAGAAAAAGGAACCCTCATACACTGCTGGTGGGAATGCAAAGTGGTGCAGCCACTATGGAAAACAATATGGAGATTTCTCAAAAAATTAAAAATAGAAATGCCATATGACCCAGCCATCCCACTACTGGGTATCTATCCAAAGAACTTGAAATCAGCAATTCCAAAAGTCCCATGCACCCCTATGTTCGTTGCAGCATTATTTACAATCGCCAAAACATGGAAGCAACCTAGGTGCCCATCAACTGATGATTGGATAAAGAAGATATGATATATGTATACAATGAAATACTACTCAGCCATAAAAAAGAATAAAATTATCCCATTCACAACAGCATGGATGGACCTTGAGGGTATTATGTTAAGTGAAATAAGCCAGATAGAGAAGGACAATCTCTGCATGACTCCACCCACATATGGAAGTTAAATATGGAGACAAAGAGAACAGATTAGTGGCTTCCAGGGGAAAGGGGAGTGGGGAGGGGGCACAAAGGGTGAAGTGGTACCTCTACAACACGACTGACAATAATGTACAACTGAAATTTCACAAGGTTGTAAGCTATCATAATCTCAATAAATTTTTTTTTTTTAAGATTTTGTTTTTTCCTTTTTCTCCCCAAAGCCCCCCGGTGCATAGTTGTATATTCTTTGTTGTGGGTCCTTCTAGTTGTGGCATGTGGGACGCTGCCTCAGTGTGGTTTGATGAGCAGTGCCATGTCTGTGCCTAAGATTCAAACTAATGAAACACTGGGCTGCCTGCAGCGGAGCGTGCGAACTTAACCGCTCGGCCACGGGGCCAGCCCCACAATAAAAATTTTAAAAATAATAATAACCAAGATTTTTCCCAAAAGGTTATAGCAATTCGCATACCCACCAGAAATGCCTGAGTGCTAGTTTTTGCTAACTTAATTGCTTAAAAAATTTGTTTTGTGCTTGCTTTAAATTTTAATTATTTATATAATATGTTAACTTTCTAAGAAACACTATGTACCAGGCACCATTATAAACACTTTACCAATATTAACTCATTAGGTCCTCATAATAATTCTATGAGTTATATAAGTATTATTAGCCTCATTTTACAGATAGTGAAACTGAGTCACAGTGAAGTTGTTACTTGACTCCAGTTACACAGCTGGTAAATAGTGGAATCAGCATTTGAACCTAGGCAGTCTGTGTCCTGAGTCTATGCTCTTAACTACTATTCTATGATACCTGTATTATGAGATTGAATATATTTTTAAGTTTTCTTTTCTTTGTTGTCATATGTAAGCACTCTTTGTATAGTATAAATATTTGACCATGTATTGAAAACATTTTCTTCCACTCTGTTACTGGTCTTTTCACTTTGTTTTTGGTATCTTAAAACTCTTATTGCCTGTTAATTTTTAGATTATCAAATGAATCTATATTGAGTCTAGTTTCTAAATACTTCAAACAATAGAGAAGCTTGCTTTCTATAAAGTAAATCACAATTACTATATAAATCAAATTGCTTACAGCAACAATTCATAATTATTGCCATGTATTATCATTTTACTCCTAAAGTTACTATGTACTACTGTATGAGTGTTGAGAATTGCTCTGGCATTTTAATTCCTCAGATATTCATTAAGTACGTATTATATGCTAAGTATCCTTCTACCAGATCTGCCTTCTCTCTCTTGCATCATCAGCATTTGCCTCTTCACTACCTCTTTGCCATCAACATACAACATGCTCTTTTTCCTCCCTTCTTAAATATAACCTTCTCTCAACCCCAGTTCCTTTACCAGCTACCACTCCATTTAAAGAAACTGCTCAGATCTGCCATCTCAGTGATGCCTGTGCAGGCTACTCTATTCGAAATTGCAATCCACTCCCTCCCAATACTCCCAATTTTATTTATCCTACTTGTTGTGTTCAAAGTACTTTTTACCTTCTAACATACTGTATAATTTAGTTGTTATGAGTATTGTTTATTCCCTCTCAGAATCTAAGCTGCATGAGGACAGAATGTCACTAGCATGTAATAGGCTTTCAGTAAATATTTTTTAAGTGAATGAATGAATGCATTAATGCCAGGTAGCGGGGAAACAGAAACAAATAAGATATTGTTCCAGCACGTGAGTAGCTTATGGGGGAGACATTTCACTATCATGTGGTAAATTCTGTGTTAGAGCCATCCTGAAAATTTCAATAGAAAGGGAAGCAACTTAAAGAAGTTAGCTTAAGTGAAGATCTCCCTCACACACAATTTGAAAACCATTGAGCTAAAAGACCTACATATCCGATTTGTTTCTTTTATATCTGTACAGTGTACATGTGTGCATATATCTATCAGTGTGTAAGATCTTAGTAAAATAGGTAGGTTCATGCAGAAATTTAACCTGAAAGTTCAGATATATAATCAGTCCTTCAGTATAAAAATTTGTAATCAGATTAATCTTTACTTTTCTGTTGTTTACTCAGTAATCTATAATATGTGATGTATCCTATGAATAAATCACCATACTTTCATATTTAAACATACCAATAATCTTTAATGTACAGCTCCTTTTCTCTGAACAGAGCCTGTGACCATCTGCGTTGTATAGCATGTGATTTCTGGATAGTAAGCTACGACGATTATATGTGGGACAAATCATGCGATTATCTGTTTTTCAGGTATGTTTCTAAAGAACTTCACTCTGAAAAATGTACCAAGGACAACTTTATATTTCTTATTTTGCCATAATGTCTCTTGATGGAGTTGGCCAGATTGTGTGGCCTTCACCACTTGAATAATTCTCTCACCCATCTCCTTTCTATCTGTCTGCTGTCAACCTAGGTAAGGGCATGTTACTTCTGGATAAAAGGATAGAAATAGCCTCCTCCCTGATTTTTCTACCTACTGTCTGCTCTCTCAGTCCACTCTTCCCATGCTGAGAATTAAAGCATAACTCTGAGTATGCCATTCTCCTGCCAAAATCCTCTGTTTTCAGAATCATGTCCAAATTCCTTAGTCTGGCATTCAAGACCCTCCACGATCCAGCCCCCATCCATCTATCATTCAGCTTTGTGTTTCCACAACGCACTTTTCACCTTTACAAGATCTTAGCTACATGAGAGTACTCAATATTCCCATTCCTAGGACTTTGAGCAAGCTCTTCACCTCCTGGGACACCTTCCCACCATTTTATTTACATAAACCCTACCTGTCCCTCAGGGTACAATTCATTGTGCGTCTTTGTGATTCCCTCACCACTGTCTTAACTTGGAAGTAAATTCATCCTTTTCTGTGTGTCCATAGCACTTTGTACCTATTATAGCACTTACTGTAATATAAAATTGAAAATCTTAGGTTGATATATGTCTGCCTCCGTCCTTGTGGTGAGGATAGTGTCTTACTCATACTTTTGTACTTTTGTAATTTGTACATTCTTTTTTTTTTATCATTTATTTATTTTATATATTTTTTTTTTTTTTGAGGAAGATTGGCATCAATCCTCCTCTTTTTGCTGAGAAAGACTGGCCCTGAGCTAACATCCACGCCCATCTTCCTCTACTTTGTATGTGGGATACCTGCCACAGCATGGCTTGACAAGCGGTGTGCAGGGGTACACCCAGGATCCAAACTGGCAAACCCTGGGCTACTGAAATGAAATGTACAAACTTAAGCACTGCACTACCAGGTGGGCCCCTGTACATTCTTATACACTTACTGAATACCTAATATTTTTAAGATGTTATAAATTATGAAAATGTATTTGAACACATTTTCAAATAAAAATTGAGCTAAAAATTAATAAAGTGCATATATCATGCATTTTTGGTCCCCCAAACCTGTGCCTAAACAAAGAGTATATTTTCAGATACAAGTAATCAGAATATATTGCAGCATTCTCCAATAGCAAAAAGAAAAAGGAGAGAGTCTTTCTCCCACACCTCTCCTGGCAGCCATTCTTATGTAAATCCATAGGAGTCTGTTGTACAAGCATAGTCTTTGAACTTTTTCACATCAAGAACCACTTTGAAAATCTTATGAAAACTTTGAATCCTCTACACACACACACAGAGACACAAATTCAAGTATACAAAAACATGGAAAAATTACAATTTGAGAGGTTTCACAGGCCCCAACCGAAAGAAAGCCTAGTGCAGTCCCAAAATCCCAGGTCAGGTTAGCCTACCTTTAATCCCATAGTTGGAAAAGTTAGTTTTTATTTCAGGTCCATTTTGCCTTTTCTGACTTTTCTAAATCCTCTGCTTCATACTGTCTTCTGGTTAATCTAATGAGTGGTTAATAATCCCAATATGTCCCCAAGATGAACCATCAATTTTTTTTTAAGAGTTTTGTTGTTGTTGTTGTTGTTGTTGTGGAAGATTTGCCCTGAGCTAACACCTGTTGCCAATCTTCCTCTTTTTGCTTGAAGAAGATTGGCTCTGAGCTAACACCTGTTGCCAATCTTCCTCTTTTTGCTTGAAGAAGATTGGCTCTGGGCTAACACCTGTTGCCAATCTTCTTCTTTTTGCTTGAGAAAGATTGTCCTTGAGCTAACATCTGTGCCAGTCTTCCTCCATTTTGTATGTCAGATGCCTCCACAGCATGACTTGACAAGCAGTGTGTAGGTCCGTGCCCAGGATCTGAATCTGCGAACCCAGGCAGCCAAAGTGGAGTGCACAAACTCAACCACTACACCACTGGGCTGGCCCCAAACCATCAATTTTTGTAAAATTAATATAGGATAATAGAATGCGTGGCACATCAAAACTCTGGTGAGCACAGCATTAAGTAAGCTTATTGGCAAGTTAGTTGGTACTTGAGGAACTTGCAGTGTCTCATGAGTTATCAAGAATATCAGTTGGTTTACTCTAGATCTGTGGCAGCCTGGTTTAAAAAAATTCATACTTTTAGATAAAACAGATTTATTAGAAGATTTATTAAAAATAAATAACAGTATTTGCTGTTATTTGTCTTTCTGAAATATACTAAATACAATATAAAAACAACTAATAATTACTATTTGAATTAGTAGAAAATATTGTCTTAGGCTTTAAGAGGCTTAGGAATGCTTGGGAGGTGCTATAACATCATGTGATAAATGTAACAGTGGAGATAGGTTAAAAGAAGGCAAGGTGGATGCATCCACCCTGAGATATCAGGAAAGGCCTGAGTCTTGAAGAACAATTAGGAATTTGCCTAGCAAACAAGATGGACACCGGTATTCTTTTAGGAGGTATTTGTAAAGACACAGGTTAAACCACATGGCATGTCTGGGGACTTACAAATAGTTTGGACTGTGTACAGTGTAAGATACCAGGGCGAAAGATAGCAAGAGGTGAGTGAAATAAGGGAGAGAGATCCAAAAGAGCAGATCCAGGAAAGCAATACTGAGGAATTTGGACTTAATTCTTTAGGCAATGGATAACCATTGAAGGCTTTTCATCAGGGGAAATATCTGAATAGAGTTGAATTTTTAAAAGATAACTAACTACTGTACAGGAACCAGGCCAGTTTAGAATCATGGGGATTAATGAAGGATGTTATGATAATCCAGTGGGAAGGAAATGAGGATCTGAATTATGGCAGTGAGGAGGGTAGAGAGGAGTAGATATGCTTGAGAGATATTTTAGAGGGAGTCCTGGCTGTGGAAGGTAAGGGACAGATATCACCTAGGATGAGTCCTGGGTTTCTGTCTTGATTTACGTAGACGGACAGTGATACTGTCTGTTGATAGAGGAAATTTAAGAACAGACTTGAAGGAAAAGCCTATATGTTTATTTATTTTACTTATGGGAGCTGCTGAAACTGTGGCTCTGAAGCTCTGGTAGGAAATGTAATCTATAAAGTGGTAGTTGAAACCATGAGATTGGATGGTATTACCCAGGAAGGCAACTTGGAAGCCTGTCAATGAATGCAGAGTTAAGGATCTTTTGGTTAAGATAGGAGATACTTTGATGCTTATATTGCGGAGGGTAAGGAAGGCATGGGAAGGGGAAGGTTTGTAAGTAACAAGGTCTTAGAGGCTTTGCGTTCCAGAGTGCTGATGGAGAGAGAGCCTTGAATAGGAAGAGGAGGCTCACCCGCTGTGATTGGGTGGAAAGAGCTAAGACACTGATGCATTCGGGGGAAAGCGAGGAAATGAAAGGCTTTTCACATCTGATGGCCTGGCTTTGTGAATGAGGATGTGCTCTGCCGAAAGTAAAGGAGTGGAGAATAGATGAAACACTTGAGGAGAGTAGGCAATATTCACTGAGGAAAACCAGAAATAGCTGGTGACCGAAGGCAAGTTAAAGGCTTGCAGTGTCATTGAATGTCTAGGCAGAACATAGGGAGCCATTTATTTTTAGTAGCATCAGTCTGCACCTTAATTATACAGTGAAATGCTGTGCAGTCCTTTGTTTTATTGTCCTCATTTTATAGATGAGGGAAATAAATGTATCCTAGCTTTGATGAGTTCTAGAACTTTCTAAAAGAAGTATAAGCTATACTTCATAGTCTTGCCAAAATAGCTAAATAAAATGCTTTAATTTTTCTATGAAGTCACTGTTTTCTTTATGGGAAATAAGGAAATTTTTTTTCTTTCTAAGCTTTTAAGATACATGCTTCTTAAAAAAAGTATTTGAAATACATCCCTGGCTATTCGTGATTCCTACTCCTAAAATCTCTAACTAAGGATTCAATCTAGTATCAAATGTTAAGTTTGTTAAAATATATCGCAGACTGAATAAGGAACATTTTTTTTCATTAAACACATTTAGTTCTGTGGAGTTTTTTTCTTTCTGATAAAACTTACGTTATTCATTTTTTCCCCCAGCTCACTGTAACCTTAGCTAAGTCACTTAGCTGGTCAGAGTCTCAGTGTCCTGAAACCAGACAGTTAGGTTGGAAAATCCCCCAGGTTTTCTAAGGTTCTAACCTTCTAAGTTGTGCCTGGATTTTGTACAATACAGCACTGAATGTGGTACCCTTTGGCCACCAGAGGGCCCTTGTAGCCTGCCTTCTATTACAGTGACTTCAAAAGTAACAGATAACACTGTATGTCTCTTCTTTAAATATTTATACTGTATTTCATCATTTTACTTTGTATTTTTTTCATTTTGAATTTTTCCATTTTTTATTCTGCCACAGAATATTTACATAAATTCAGTACATGGATTATCATGAAAATCATAATTGATTTTCAATTAATTAAATTAACTTCTCTAGTCTTTCTTTATAATAGCATCAAGTCAGATGGTTATCAGTTTTCATGATGGTTCTGCCCATTGATTTAATTATTTTAACATTATTGACATTTAATGCAGGATAGGCATTTATTTTATTGCTGATAGTATAATTAAATAGCATATCACTGAAACAAATGAAAGTTAAAATACCAGTTCAACACATGGAAATAGCAGATACTTTGTTAATGAAAAATTTCTGAAGTTCATTTATCAGAAGCCTATTATCTTTATGCCTCATATATACCCTCCATTTGCCATATTGCAGGCTTTTAGAGTATGGTGTAGGTGAGTATCTGAGGTAGATGAACCACCACCCTTCCCATTCTGTTCTCCTATCATGTCGTCTCTGATAGGACACATCAATAATTCTTCAGCCCTTTAAGTCATTATTAAAGACATAAATAATTATTATTATTAAGACAGCCTTAATGGACGGACCTAGAGGATTGCTGTTAAAAAGTACTAGATACCGAGGAAATACCATCAGAAAGCACACTGAAGCGTATCTTTTGTTGTTTGTGTGAGGGAACCATGATTGGTTAGTGTTCAGATGTTGTAAAGATATGAAAATAAAGCAATAAAGAACTTCCTTTTTTTTCAGTCATTAGGCAGTGAACAAAGTCACTCTGCTGAAACCTTCATGTTTTACCAATAGGAACAACATGCCAGAATTCCACAAATTAAAAACAAAGTTGGTAAAGAAGAAAGGCACACGGGCATACGCCTGCCAGTGTAGCTGGAGAACTATTGAAGAACTGACTGACCTTCAGACGGATCATCAGCTTCGTTGGGTTTGTGGTAAACATTAAGAATGCAGACTTTTCACGTTCAGACAAATGCATCCGTGAGAGCATTCTCCATTAATCATCATAATAGTTAGATAAAGGCACATGGTAGTGTCATGCCCTTTGGAAAAAGACAAGAAATTTCATTTAATGACTATTCAAATTTTTGAAGACCAAATGGACTTGGGAAGATAATGTGCCTTAATGTTTTGGAATTCTTTTCTTAATGTATAGACACTTAGTAAGCAAGGTAACAAGTTATCCAAATTCTTTTTGCTAGCCTGTCTCCTGTTAGACGGAAGTTTAATTATGGAGTTTCACACAAATATATAGCCATTTGTTAGCAACTGCCATATGACTGACTGCTAATACACTCAGCTTAAACATTCCTCATTTATAGTACTTAAAGGAGATAAAGCCAGCCAGTGAAGAGAGGACATTGAGGGGTGTATACATCACCTCCTCACGTCAGGTCTGTCATTGCCAAAGATCACAATTTAGACATGGCAGAAACCATGTGATCTGTGGCTTGCTGAAGGGTATTCAAGGGTACGGGTATATTGTAAATGAAAACACTGCCTGTATCTGAACTTACCTTACCAACTCAGAGTGATGTTAGACACAGTAATGATAAATATATATTGCCAGTTTTAGCTTATTTCTCCTCCTTTTGTTCATTTAGATATCAAAAGTTATTTAGTTTGCTACTTTAGCAAATATCCACTTATATATAAAAAATTTTTTTTGATTCGCCTAAACTCACAAGGAAAAATCCTAATACAGACAGGTCATTATTGGATTTTCCAAGTACTTTCTAGCCTTTAATGCCTAAAACTCCCATCAGGTAAAATGAATAGCAAGTAAGATATTTTCTCAGGCAGCCTGTTGATTTTTCTGGTAGGATCAGATTGACATATTATTTATTAGAGGAGTGCATGAACCAACAGGTAACCTGTTGGGCTCCTTCTTGAGATCACTGAGACTTGAGGAGCCCCACAATAGCAGCACATTCAGGAAATAGTTACCTCAAAATTACCAACTCCCAGCCATGTCAAGAGATTCTGGGGGCTTTCCAATCTGCCAAAAGCTCTTTACCACATCTGTCTAATACATAGTTCAAATGTGTGACACAAGGCATGTTGAAAGGGAGTAATCAAAGCAAAGTTATGATCTGCTTTAATGTGCTGAATCCGTTCCAGCCACCCTGTGTAAGCAGAGAAGAAAGGTCTGATCATTAAGACCCTTTTCCTAGCACGGCACATTTGCACATGTGTAAACTCACGCTAGTGAGTCTAGCACTGCAGCAGAACACATCTCACAGTGGCAAATGCCACGTTTGTGTTTTTGTATTGAGAATATGTTTAGAGATCTTATCTTTCAATAAAAATCTTTTACTCTCTAAAATTTTATCTCTGTAATTGTATCAGAAATATAGGGAGATTTGGATCGAAGTCATCTCTTCCAAAAAATAGCGGAGCAGTCTGATCCACACATTCAGAACCCCAAGGAATTTGGCACATTAGTGATAATGGTGATTTTTTTTTATTCAGATGAGCAAATTTACTCATCTGAATAAATCATTAATTTGAACAAATCATTAATTTGAAAGTATTTTTTTCTCTTATTTAATCATAACTATCCTATAACTTGGATACATTGCCCATGTTTGGCATTCCATAATATAATAATTATAATAATAATTCCCCAATGTCAGATATGTATATGTGAGTTCACATTTTGTTGGCAATTTACTTTATAAGCTTTTTAATATTGTACAATTTTTAATCTAAAATGTAAAAGAATTATATTTATATACAAATGGATCATTATTACCAGTTTTAATTAAACCAAAATAAAACTATTTTAGTATAAATATAGAAGAAAAGCATGGTTTCTAATGAACTGTAATTTTAAAATGCAAAGTTTATAAAACTTTCAAGATGTTTTACCTATTTGTTTTCAATATTTATAATAATTTTCTACCTTTAGCAAGTATCCATTTTTTGTCAAGCCAGCAGCTACTTTATTTGAACTTTATTTATACTCTCAGACCCTAATCTTGCCTAGAAATGAATAAATAATAAATAGCTTCACTCTGTATTTACTTTTTTTATAGTAAAATATTCATTTGGGGATTAATTTGAAATAATTTTGATAATTTATTTTAAAATGTCAACAAAAAAGTTTCTAACCATCCAATTGAACAGAAAATTTGTTTATATTCTGGAGGAGAAGCATGCCATAGTTTGTTTGTGTGCGCATGTGAAAGAGCGTGGGTGCTTAGAGGAGCGGTCCCAGTGCAGGAAGAGTGAGCCATGCTGACACGGTGGTGGCCGTCCAGACCCTGCATGTTGATGTCAGGGCCAAGGAGGATGGCATCAGACTATGATTTTGAATTACTTTCCCTCCTTTTCTTACTGATCTAATACTTAAAAATATGGAATAATAATGTCTTTTTATCCAATAAATACGGTGATGAAGCTTAACAGTAACTTTCAAATCCTGATTTTTCTCAGTTGTTACGTTTTAACAAAATCTCTATCATCAACTCCTAGTAATCAGCTTTACATATTGTTTAAAATAGTTCTTGAAGGGAAGAAAAAATTCAAAATATAGAATCTCTTTAGAGATTTAACATCTTATCATATTTATTTGGGTTTGTGACACCATTTGGGGCCCTATTTTAAAAGATTGCATGGAATATATAGATTTACATGTGATTGATAATTAAATTTGTTTTCAGACTTTCCCCAAATGCCTTGAGATAATGGGTGACAGTATGAAGTGCTATGAAATCAGAGTTGAGAGTCACATCCCTTGGAAAGTTACTTAACTTTTGGGCTTCATTTGCCTTATCTATATGAATGGTGAGATCTCTTTTGTAAGCTGCTTGTAATGATTAAATTATATAATATGAAAAGTGACTCACATGGTGTTAAGTTCAGAATAAGTGTTTAATAAATGTTCTCATGCTTTTTCCTTCTGAAAGTGATAGTTTCTAAATTAAAGTAATAGTGCAGCATGTTTCTTACAGTAAAGCATTTGCCCGCGCTTATTTTTTCATTCTCTAAACATTACTTACAAGAAAAGCTATGCTATCATTTTTGTTTTATCACTAGTAAATGCAAACATGGTCAGCTTTATTTTTATATAAGTTGAAACTACAACTTTTAAAAACAGAGCAAAAACCTGCTCACCCTAGCCTCCTCCGGTCTGGTTTAAACCTTTTTTTTAAAAGATTTTTATTTTTCCTTTTTCTCCCCAAAGCCCCCTGGTACATAGTTGTGTATTTTTAGTTGTGGGTCCTTTGAGTTGTAGCATGTGGGACGCCTGCTCAGCATGGCTTGAGCAGTGCCATGTCTGCGCTCAGGATCCAAACCAGCAAAACCCTGGGCTGCGGAAGTGGAGCGGGCAAACTTAACCACCCGGCCGCGGTGCTGGCCCCTGGTTTAAACCTTATTGATCATGTTGAAGACATTCCAGGCCTTTCACAGTATCTTTTCAGCTTCATCTGCCTCTGCTTCCCTCCTCTTCCAACCAAACCTACATCCTACACTCCAGTCCTTAGATATACCTCATGTTTTACTGCCTTCTTCATGTCCCTGCTCTCCTTCATCTTACCCTATCAAAATCTGATTTATTTTTCAAGGCCCATCTCTCGTACACTCTCAGAGTGTTGCCCACTCTCAGGGGAGTCCCCAGGAGTCTTTCAGCGGGTCCACATAGTCAAACCTATTTTCAGAATACTAAGACATTAATTTCCTTTTTCACTGTGTTGACATTTGCACAGATGGTGCAAATGTAGGTAAACCTGCTGGCACCTTACTTAGCATGATTCAAAGCAGTGGCACCATGTACTTGCAGTAGAAAAAGCCAGTTTCACTTAAGCATATCCTTGATAAAAGCAGTAAAAATTATTAATTTTATTAATCTTAGCCTTCAAGAACATATCTTTTTACTGTTCTGTGTGACTAAATGAGGAGTATACGTAAAGCACTTGTGCAGTTGAGTTTTGAGCTGAACAAACTACTTTTTTCGTGGAATCCATTTTTGTTTGAAAGAACAACTGACAGAAAACTATGGGTATTCAGACTTAAATATTTGGCACACGTTTTCTCAAAAATTAACTAAGTGAGTAACCTCCAGGAAAATAACTGGCAGTATTTGTTGCCAATAATAAAATTCAAGTCTCTAAGCAAAAGTTAGAATTTTGGAAAACTTGTATCCACCACTGTGAGCGTGACATCTTCTCCAATACTTAAAGTCTTTCCTGATGAGACTAGTGGTAAAATGAACAAGCGATTTTGTGGGGTGCTATATAATGAAATGTGACAGTATTTGGAAGATCTTTATAATTCAGCAAAGCATTCTTACCAAATAACCAATGCACAATACTACAAAACTGTGCATCTAAGTGGATTTTAATGTAAGAGTAATTAAGTTCATTGATAGGATTTCAGTTTCCACATTGCAACTAACTTTTAAGAAACTAGCACCGGTCAAGTTTTGATGTAGTATTGAAGAATAGCCATGATTTCCAAAAAGACTATTTAAAATACTCTTCTCTTTTCCAACTACATGTCTTTGTGAGCCTAAATTTCCTTCTAAGCCTTCAACCAAAAAAACACCTTAAAAGAGTGAGGGCAGCAGTAGCTATGAGAATCCAGCTGTCTTCCATTAAGTCAAAGATTAAAGAGATTGGCAGAAACATAAAATAAATGCTGCTCTTACTGTATTTGTTGTGGAAAATATAATTTTCATAAAAATTTGACAACATGTAATGGGTTTATTATTTTTAAGTTAGTTAAATAGTTTTTATTTCTAATATCAATATCAATATATATAACCACAAAAACTAAGCTCTTTGGGGTTCATAATTTTTAAGAGGGAAAAAGGGTCTTGAGACCAAAAAGCTTGAGAACTGTTATCCAGAATCCTGATTACCCTCCCTACCCACACCCCATCCAGCCTAAAGATGTGATTTCTCCCCCTTTCATCTGCTGTTGAACTTTCTATTTCTCATATAACACCTTGTATTATAATTATTTGTATGCTTATTGTATTCATCTTGGAGATTAGATGTCAAAATTTTTAAAGTCTCGAATGATCTCTCAGTGGTAGAAGGGAAACCATCTGGGACAGTTGTGCCACGAACTTCCTGGAGCACTGTGGGTAAGCTACTGTGTTTTGGGGCTCATCTATAAAATGACAGTTGGATTCAATAACATGTGAGTTTCCTTCTTACTTGAAAATGGTATGAATACTGTTCCTCTCAAAATACTTTGTGGACCCAGTGTTGTGCTAGCCATACATTGGGAGATGAGGTATGTGTAATGGGGAAGATTCTGGGGTCAGAGACATGGGTTTCAAAAAGATATGATCTGCAACCTCTTGGGGCTTTCAGTCAGTGGAGGAAAGAAGTGAATGTCTTACTACTGAGACCGTGAGTGCTCTCAGAGAGAAGTAATTGGGTCCTTACAGAAGACAGGTGTTTAAATCAGGGTGGGAGAGAAGGAGGTTCTTCCTCCTTGTAGGAAGTGATTCTTAAGTTGTCTTGATGTGTTTGAAGAACGACAAGTAAATTGACTTGGCTTGATGTTTATAGTGAAGGTGGGCGAATGGAGTGGTAATATCTGAGGCTGCACTAGAGAGGTAAGTAGGTTTGCATTAAGAAACCTGTCCCGTACAGTCCCGTGGGATAGAAATTGAACTAAGTGGAAGAAGCAGTTGAGAGAGAAAGAAAGTGTTTGTCAGAACCCTTTTCTCAAGTGACATGTACTGTGTGTGGTACGATTGTTCACAATTACTCTTTCCACACCCTTAGGAGGATTTGCACATCCTCACCTGTTGAACTCAGGGGGATAAGAATGATATCCCACATTTGAGAATGCAAGGACCTCAGGGAGGCATTCCCAGGAAAGACATGTTCAGTCAAGGCAGAGTGAGGGCATGTGGAGTTTACCATGAAGTGGGTGTTCCAGAAGGCATGGTGATTGGAGGTGGCCAAGAGGTGACAATGGGGGGATTTGGGGGAGCAGGGGATGGCAAGAGATGGAGAAAAAGAACAGAGGAGTGTTGAGAAGAGAACCTGGAAGGAACTTAAATTTTAACCCCAAAACAGTAGGGATCAGAGCTCTGGGGGATTGGCCAGCCTCAAAGATCTAACTGGAACTCTGATTCCAACTAGAAACAACGTGGTTTCCATCCATGACATAGGCTCAGGGCCCTGGGTGGTGACCCAGCCTACTGGACTGCTATTTTTTGCATCCAGGTCAGCAGTCTACATCCTTTGCTCTCAGTTTTGAATAGAATTGATTCTAATAAAATCACATTGTTAGAAGACTACAAAATACCGAAGAAAAAATGTATTGAAATGTAGTCATTATCTTCAGAAGGCCATTTACACTCTGAATACCAGGAAGTGAGGCCTAAGGACTAACCCTTTCTTATCAAGAATTTGTTCCTCAGAACAAGTTATCAGGGGGCTGAGAGACAGCTAAAGAAGGCTGGACTAGACTGAGGGCCCAGGCTTCAGTTTTATTAAAGATCAGTACCAAAGGAGAGGCAGAGTTTCATGATTATTGTTAGTTATAGATGAGGAAACTGAGGCACAAAGAGTTTGCCCAAAGTCATACTGTAAGTAGCAGAACAGGATCCAAACCTAGATCAACTCTGCGTCTATGTAGAAAGGAAAAGATGAGCTAGAGCAGATCCTCGGTTCATTAACCTGGGGCTTTCACCCCGTTCCCCAGCAGAGCCCTAATGGACTAAGAGAGAAAAACACAGCACTGTGAGAATATGCAATCCCAGTTTTATCAGAATAATACTCTCAAATATTTTCTGTGACTTTGTGTAAAGGAAGCAAGATAGAGTGCCCAGGTGTAGCTAGGTTTCAGGTTGTCTCCCAATGCTGACAGACAGGTGGTAGCTTCCAGGAACAATATGAGGAGGAGGCAGGTTAAGCACAGTGGGAAAGAGTTCCATAAACCATTAGTCAAGTCTGCCATGGGCTCAGGGATGAGGAATGAGAGCCTACCGTGGATTTGATAACCCTGGGACTGAGTTCTTGCCTTGCTCAGTGGTTCTCAACTCTACACTCAGATTGAGACTCCTAGAGAGCTGTAAAAAGTGCCAGTGCCCAGGCCCTAGGCCCAGAAATTCTAATTAATTTGTCTGCAGTGAGGCCCAAGCATCAGTATTTTTTAAAAACTCTCCCAGTTATTCCAATGTGAAGCCAGGGTTGATATCCACTAGTAGCAATATGACCTTGGAAATTCACATTCGTCTTTAGGCTTTAGTATCCTCACCTGTGGGGGAAAAAAATCATTTAGCTTTCACTGCCAGTATAAAAATGTGAGGTTTAATACTAAGTGATTCTTAATGTCCCCTCCAGGATTAAACTTTCATGAATCTCTTTTCATGATGTAATCATTCTAAAGTAGTTATTTCATTTAGGGTTCAGAGTGTGTTGTCATCGATGTTTCTCTCAGTC